CTGAAGAAGAGGAGGCTTAGGGTGACCTTATTGCTCTCTACAGCTTCCTGAAGGGAGGTCGCAGACAGGTGGGGGTCGGTCTCTTGCACCGGGCAGCAACTGACAGAACAAGATGACACAGTCTCAAGCTACATCAGGGAAGGTACAGGTTGGATATAGGAAAAATTTTTTTACTGAAAGAATAATAAAATACTGGAATTGTCTTCCTAGGGAGGTGGTGGAATCACAATCTCTGGATATGTTTAAATAAAGACTGGACTTGGTACTTGGTGCTATAGTCTAGTTGTGGTGTTAGGGCATAGGTTGGACTTGATGATCTTAGAGGCTTCTTCCAACCTCATTATTCTGTGATTCTGTGATTCTATGAGCAACCCATCTATTAGCAAAGGGTTAATTTCCTATTCCACGTGAGATCCAGACTGTATGCCTAGCTGACTTACTTGCAATGACACTACACTGTGGCAGCAAGGAAAATATTAATCAGTTGGCACTGGGGCTGCTACTGCAAAATTTACACCAGAGAAAAAAATTTAGAGGAGGCTGAGATCTGGATAACGGAAAAGCTCATATGATTTTCTGCACCAGACTATGGAGTTTAGAAATGAAAAAATATTTAAAAGGAAGCTACTTTTTGTTTTTGAAAATTATTCTTAGTGAGTTTATTGAATATGTTTTATTTGCACAGATGATTAATATGATAATAATAGTAAATTGCTAAAAGAATGTGTCCGAAAACACTAAATCAGAAAATACTTACTGGACCAAATAATTTTTTGCCTGCTTTATACCTAAAATCCACATACCCTATAGGAATATAAGACAGAATAACAGCTAGGTCACTTTATTTTAAACAAATTTATCTTTGGTCTTTGAAAACTGGCAAAGATATCTTATCTGATGACTTGGATGTTTTAATTTTTAAGTAATATAATGAAGAGTGTTCATGACAGGGTAGAAAACCAACTGGTGTATTTAAGAAAATACCAAGATTTTTTACATGCTTCAATGTTACCACAATTTCTTGCTGAAGATTTACGGAAAGAAAAAAAAAGATTAAATTCATAGAGTATCGAACTCTGTCTTTTGCCTTCCAAATGCAATGATGCTGATTTGCATTTAAAAAAAAAATAAATTGTTAAACAATAAGAATAGGCAAGCCATTTCCATTACTGGAAATGTCCATTTAAGTTTTAAAACCTCTATTCAGCATGTAACTTCTTCTATGAGAAACTTTTATCCTGGTTGAACAATCCCCAATTCTTTCATCTTGTCTTCATAGGAGAGGTGTTTCAGGCCTTGTGGATTCCCTTGTATTTGCTTCAATAGGTCCAAATTCTTACACTGGGAGCCCTCAGAGCCCAGTGCAGCACTTTAGGTGTGGATTCATTAGAGCAGAGTAGAGGAGCAGAATCACCTCCCTTGACCTGCTGGCCAGAGTGCTCTTGATGCAGCCTGGGATATGTGCTGGGACATGTCCAACCTTCCTTCCATCAGTATGCACAAATCCTTCTTGTAAGACCTGCTCTCAGTTCTCTCATCCCCCTGACTGTATTGGTTCTAGGGGTTGCCCCAATCTAGGGGCAGGACCTTGCACTTGGTCTTGTTGAATGAGATATATTTTCTAGAATCCCACTTCTTGAGCTTGTCCAAGTCTCTCTGGATGGCATTTTGTCCTTCAGACAGATTGGATTTATGTCATCAAAATATGAGTGCGAACAATGAAACAGGAAAGAAATACATAGTCAATAGACTTCAAATTATTATATGGATCTCCACAGATATAATTAGGACTACTTAATCTCATTTGGCTCTACCTTTCAAAGAAGTTTGAGTTTCTAGTGAAATGAAGGCCATTCATGTTGGATAAGTTACCCATAACTCCTTTGCCTTCATGTTTCTCCTAAAGCAGTTGTAAAAAGATGCTAATTTTTTTTCATAGGAATTTAGACAAGCACAAAACTAAAGTGGGCCTCAAAAATATGAAAAAACTTTGGATTTGATACTCTGCCAAGTAACAAAAATAGATGAGAGCATACACTGACAGACTCGGAGCAGTTAAGACTGAAAGATTAAATAAGATGTGAGAAATCAAAATAATCAGAGATCTTTGGGAACAGATATAATATTATTACTTTAATTACCAATGCAAATGGTACACATGTGGACAATATCATGCTAAAGAGAGGGGATAGACAGGTTGAATGTTGAATTTCTCTGTTCCTTTATTTCTTGCTTTCTCTACTTCATTAATCCCCATGTCAAAGGAGTACAATTTTTGTCCATACATTTCACTGGAGTTTTATCAAACGAATAGGGATTCTGCAAAATAATCTGTGATCATAATTGTATCTTGTATCATAATTCAGTGGACAATGATTTCAAAAAAGAAAGTTCCAAAACTATCCCTGTATTTTCTTTTTCATATTTTATGGTGGTTGTGATTAAAGACTTTAAATCAACACCAGTTGCCACACAAGAGTGTCTGACAAACTATTGTCATTTTCTCCTATAAGATAGATACATCAGGATAAATATTTCAATGTCAAAGCCAGTATTTCTTTTTCCTCCATGAGTACTGTTAAAAGACTTCAAATATTTATAGATTTTTAATTAAATATTATTGTCAACACTTATCAATATTCAGAACTTAAATTTCTCTCAGCAAATTAGTTCCCCCAGTGTTTTTTTTTTTTTTGTTTTTAAATTCTATTCTATGGTCACATTTCAGAGGAAATAAAAATGTGGACTTAACAGACTGATGCATGTCATGAAAATGAAGCAATTTAAGAGATACAGCAATAGCAAGTTACCAGGACTGAATGATCTCCCCTCAGAATTCTGACAATAGAAATTTATTAATTATAGTATGTATAGATGGGTATTTATCTTTTCTCTATAAGATAGTAATAATAATATAAAACCACCCCCATCACAGACTGAAAGGCATTAATACTGCTAATTTCAGTGTTTTGAGTTTAAGGATTAGTGTGAAAATTCAGACAAATTCTGGTGCTGGTAAAGCTGTTGAATTGTCCTAAAGATGATAAAAATGCAGGACTTGAAGGAGTATAACCTGAAAGGACTAAAACAATGCCTCTTCTGTAAAGAGGAGCTGAATTAGAGCAAATCAGGTAAAATTAAGAAAGGAATAAAAACCCCTGGATTTTGCAAAATCTTATTGAGACACAATGTGCCACTGTCTAATTCTTTGTGCCAGTGGTGTTACTTCTCCAGTTGGGAGAAAACATTTAACATCGTGGAAAAATGGAACAGTTAGTCCCTTTGCTTCTCATGGATTCAGCTAAATCATTCATTTGTGGTCATCCAAATTTTGGTCTACTTTCTTGCTCTTTCAGTCAATCAAATGGAATTTTTAATGTGTCCAGTAATCCCTATGCCTAGGCTTTACCTATTAAAGCACAAGTAAGCACAAAAGTGATGCAGGGCACTGGTTAACGGTGACTTTCTCTCATACATATGTAAAAAGCTTGTCAAATACACCTCTGCCTAATGAGAAAGCACAAATGTTCTGACAAGCAACAGCAACAAATTAAAAAAATAGTCACTATCCTGTCAAATAATGTTTGTATATCAAGGATCTTGAATACAAAGCATATTTATCAACAATCACATTTTGAGTAGAATTCACATGAATGTAACACCTTCTCTCTCTAAGGTTTTGAGTGAGGCATATTAAAGCAGATCATACAACTTACTTATCCCAGGAACAGAGGTTCTTTTTCAAAAGCTGTCAGCTTGCTGACAGATATGATGAACTTCAGTCTTGTAAAACATTTAATCAGACTTGTTCCAATAGCTTCAGTCCAAGGAGGGTTACTGTTTTCTTTAGAAAAATGTACATAATTGAGGAACGATGAATACATGCATAACTTGAATGCAAGTAATTATCTATGACATTTATTTATTTGTAATGAATAGATACTAGTCCATAACAGGCTTAAGGGAAATGTAAGCAGTATACGGAAATGTGTTTAATACAAGGCTATTTGCCAAAGGTCTGTGCACCATTCATTCAACTTTAAGAAACTTTTGAAAATATAGGTTGCACTTGCAAACTTACATGTATGGAGAGCTGGCAAGCTGCCTAGTTTGTACTTAAAGGATTGTCATCCTTGGAAAAATAAATTTCTCCAAATAGACAAAAATCAGTATTTCCATGTTTCACTGCAATCAAATGATAAGGCTGACAATTTAATGGCTCAACACATAAAATACATGTGGATAATTAGTTATTTTAATTATCAGAATTACAAATTCCTCTGTTTTCAAACATTGTATACATATGACAGATATATTTAAAAGTTCTACTAGATGCCTCCCCATCCGTAATCTTTAGTGATTTCTCTTAAGCTGTGAAATAATTTTTTTCCCAAATGCATGATTTTATAATTAACGGGGAAAAAAAATCCAATCCTGCACTGCAATCAGATTTTTAAACCTTTGTGTTAATGTCCTGTTTTATTAAATTTGATGTATATTTCATAGGCTGCTTGCCTGTTAAATGTATGTGGAAATGTGCTGGCATTCCAGCTGAAGAGATCTTTATGAGTGAGAAAATGCTCAAGGCTTTTTCAAAGTAGGTGCTGAACATATGTTTCTCTTCTTTGACTCTAGAAGATGCTAACAGCTCTTCCAGCAGACAGGTATCACAAGGTTAAAGGCTAGCAGAGCTGTGCACCTTCAGGATCTGACTGTCAGCAAAGGAGATGAATAGTTTCTCAAAACTAATAAGGAAAATGACAGCAATGATAAGAAGCAGAAGGACCTGACAACAAAAGAAAAAGAAAGGAAAAAAAAAAAAAAGAACCAGCATAAAATGAATTCTGGGTAGTACAACACCTGGCAGAGCTGATTTTAATATCTGGCAGGTTGAGTTCACTAATCTTTGCTATTCATATTGATGTGATACTTCATAGAGTTTTAGAGATTATCTATTAAGACATGCAGTAATGTTGTTACAACATGGGAACAAGTTTTCTAGCACCTGCCATTCATTCTCCATGATAAAAATTGATATGATCTTTTTGAAATGCCTAACAGATAATTACTCTCAACACTCAATAAGAAAACAACATCTTTAGAGTGTCCTTTATCTTTAAAAAATTTTAAAAAGTAGACTAAAACTCACACCAACATTGTCTCCCCCTCTCTTTTGGTTCTTTGATTACTTGGAGCCTTGTAATCAAACTAAGCTTAGTTTCAGGACCCTTGGGGCAGTATCTCTTAGTTCTCTGTCAGGCTGCGTTGGAAAACAATCAATCTTGTTCTTGCGCTGGCTTGGTAGAAGTGCCACAACACATGGAGTGCGCTGCTTTGCTCTTTCTCTGAAGCTTCGATGACAAAAGTTTTTATCAGAAGCTGACTGTATTTAGGATTATGAATATGCAATGACTCTCATTAGTATTGAAGCACAGGAACACGGTCTGACATCCCTTGCCACTTTTAGCTGCTGCAGAGTTGTCTAATGAATTGTCTTGCTCTTTCACTCTCACAGTCTTTGTTGTTATGGCCCAGTTTGAGAATACTATTGATGGCAAAAAATTAATTGCCAAAACCCACTCTTGATTTTGTTAAACAGTTTTGAGTCAATGCTTAAATTGTCAAAACAGAAAATCATTAAACTCTACAGGATACAAATCCATCAAAAGTGGAGAGAATATGCATGTCTGCATGCATAGCCATAAACAAGCATAAAACTATATGGCACAGGTATGCATCCAGTCTTGCAACTGTACTTATACATAAAACCAGATGTGTATGTATCAGTGATGTGTTTCAGAAGCCTAATGTCCTGATGATTTCTTTTATTTTTCCAGTAAAAATAAATGGAGATAATAGAAAGTTTTTCAAATGAGCTTGACTCTGATACATTGCTACTTCATCAACTGTTTTATTCACTTCCTTATCCCATTGGAAATATGCCAAGTACCTTTCAGCTCATCTGCAATCTGTTTGAATAAGTTATTGATAAAGACAGTTCCAAAAAGTGATTAAGATATATGGCTTGATTTGTTGTATTTGAGGAGGTGTGTAGGCTTTCAGAAACAAGTGAAAATGACCCTTTCCCCCCAACTGGTTAAATTAAGTATTTTTTCCCCTCTTAATCTAAAATTTCTTCTGACATAAAATAAGCTTAAATGGTTCTGCAGATTGTGAAGGGTAAAGTGACTTGAAACAGCTAATTCAAAAAAGCTTAAGCAGTGTTCTGAAATGTATGTGTGTACTGTAAATAATAAAGGATAGGAAGTTCTCCCAGTAAGATGTCAGTCCTCTGAAGCTCTATATCCATTTAATCAGTAATGGAAATGGTCCCAGTGCAAGAAAAGAGGATCTCTTTAATTTTTACTGTGATTTTTTGGCATTGTTGCTCTAACACAAGCTTGGTTTACCTCTTAATCCAGCCTCAGAACTGTCTGTTCTTATCAGCTGGATTAGAAAATAATGAACATCTACATCTTGTGAGTATCAAATACAAAAGCAGTTTAAAATAAATGCAGTTCTGACAAAATTGGCTCAAGTACCATACATCAAACACTTGTTACCTCTCTTTGCCTTAGTGACTGCACATGACTAAGAAAGAGTGAGTGATAAAATCTGAAGAAAGATGAAACCAATCTGGACCTTTTTAAAGATCATCAATCATTCTGCACAGCCATGATATTATTATTTCCAGTAAGCCTTGTTCTCCCATTTTATGGACATCTTAAGTCTCCCACCCCAGAACCAATACTACCATGGGAAATCATTTTTATGGGCAGCATCTCAATGTGGGCCAATCAGATCTAATCACATAACAAGCTACTGAATAATTCAATGTTCTCTGTAATTTTGCATTCTTCCTGCACTTTGCTGTCACTACAGGGTTTTAAAAGTATGGATTTTTACAATATTTATTAAGAAGATAACCATTTGCAGAAATTTTTCTTTCTCTATGTATTTCAATAATCATCTTTCCCTTAGATGGTTGCAGTGTATACACTACTGTACACAGAATATTTTTTATAAAATAATAACAATACACAATGTGGTACTCAGCTTTAAACTCTCCCAGTTTTTAATATACCAAATGTAAGGACAACAATAGCAAAACAATTGTGTTCAAACATAAAATATTCATATTTACGGAGCAAACTATAACCAGCATGTCTCTTAGCTGTTGCTATGAATACAGGGCTTACATTGTATGTGAAAATATTTCAGTTTTAATTGCAAATCTGTGCAGAGATGATTTGGGGTCTGTAATTAGCACATAAATTTCAGGCTTTGCAACTGCTGTGAAAACACACATTATTTATGGAACTATTATCTAAATATAATTCAGTGTTTTTTGCTTTCAATAACTACTGTAAAAGTCTGATTTAATAAAATGTGAAAAATTTCCCATCTCTTGCACTTCTGTTCACATTATGGAGCGTTCATTCCTCTGCACTGCCATTTCCCACTCAATCTGCCATGGACTTTGCTTTTATCCACACTTGACTCACACCTCAGGGAGATTTCTTCATAGCCATAAAATGCCTTGCACTTAATTTGTTTAAAATGAAAGCCTGGATTATTCAAATAGGTCTGAACTGCACAAACAGAGTAGTTTATGTGGCCTCCATCCTCATGCTTTTCATCATGGCTAGAAGCAGGAATAAACATGAAGTGTAGTCTAAGCTTGGTTTAAGCTTTTGTGTGCAGATTTCCAGTTATCCAGAGAAAGTTAATGGAAGGATGAAGTGTTGCCTTGTTATCACCTGCTTATTGTGAACTTCAGGCTCAACCACTTCTAGCTCCCATCAGTGTAGGGCACAACCAGTGCAAAATTTTCTTCTTCCTTGCCAGAAATCCCATTCATTTTCAAAACAGGTTACTCACAAAACCTGTTTTACAGCAATTGTTTCAGAGACCTTTCACTGTTCTTGAGTTTAAAAGTGTATTTTTAAGTCTCATGGAACTGAACATTTTTCTTGCCAGCTTTGTGCTTGTCTCTAGGTTCAGGACTGGAGCTACAGATAAAGAGACTCTGCACCACAGTGCCAGGTTTAATAGTAAAACAGAGCTTGCAGTAACAACAATGACAAAGTCCATAAATTACATCAGAATTACATCTGAATTTTTCTCTCCTCCAAATTTTTTCCCCATATCTTTTTGGGTCTCTGTGTATATAGTTTTGCTCTCTTTGAAGGAAAATACTTGCCCACTTTCTGTCTGCTTCCAAATTACAAGATGGCTTTCTGTCTCTGGCTGCACCAGCACCTCTTTTCAATGGCAACCTCAACAGTCACTGCAGTAATATTCAGAATAATGATCACTAACAGGGCTGCCTTGCTTCTCCCAGGGCTGCCTGCTCTTACAGTCTGTATCTGCAGGAGCATCACCCAGGCCACTCACAGGGTGGGTTGAAAGCTGTATCTGTGCCAGAAATGTGCAATTTTTTTTGCATGGGGCTACCAGGATTTTTTGGGAGCAATTCCTTTTCGTATGTCTGTCCAGTTGCTGGCACTGGAGACAGGAGGAGCTCTGGATGGCATACACCAGCATAATTTTATATTTGGACAGTGAAATCAATGTAATGGTGCATATGCTCTACAAAGTTAAAAAGAGTAATTGAAAGATAAAGTGTGAAGCCATTGAAAGCTGTACATTAAAGTTCCAGCATTATTACTACCATTAAAATTTAAAGTGACAGAAGCCCAATTATGAACAGTTATTATATAAAATTAAGTTTTTTTTTGTCTTTGTAAAGCCCTCATTTCTGCTTTGCCACAGGATCTGTCTTCACGGCTTCTGGTGTCAGCAGGATCCTGAGCCTCCTGATGAGGAATGGATGAAAAGGGCAGAAAGGCTTGAAGCCTAATGGGGAATGGCAAAGCAGAATCTGCCAAGTGGTTTAGCCTGCTCTCGTGGTAATATTAGACAAAGCTTCAGTACCTGAAAGAGACTCCAAACCTGCCTTTGAAACTGAAAATGGCATCTGCGGGCCGAGAAGACAGCGAGTACATTTTTAGGAAGATAAAAAAGGATGGGTGAGACAGGAAAATTTTCTGACAGACAAGTGAGTTAATAATTGTTGTGTTTGCTTTCTTCACAGTTTTGGTGCTGTTTCTTTCCACAATAAACCTTAGCATTCAGTATACCTCACAAGACTGTCTGCTCAAATAAAAAAAAATTCTTCTGTATCTTTCTTTGGCTGGTACTATATGGACTACTTCAGATCAATACGTTATACCATCTTTTAAACCTCACAAACAATGTGCTTCCATTGGTGTATTGGTATATTTTCATTGCAACGGTATATATTGGTATTTTTGTATATTACCAACATATTGGTGTATTTTTCTTAATGTCTGGCATGATGAGAGGCCATGAAGGCCTGAGCTTTCTCATGAGAAGGAAGTTGCTATTTTCTGGGAACAGGGAAAATTTTAATACAGAATGTCTTTGAAAAATATCAGAGTTGTACAGTCTTTCACACTAGGATTTCCAAAATTGAAAGTGGCATTTGGCCCAATGGTAGCAGAACTGTAATCTAAAAATTCAGGAAAGTAGACCTGTCCATATATCAGCCACCCACCATTCAATGTGCAACAATTCAGTTCAGTTTGAATTCTTTTACATTATCAACATAATTCCAGACACAGAACAATGAATCTAGTTTTCAGATAAGATTAGTGACACCTGAATAATGTGGAAAATCCCTAAGTAAATGCCCAGATAGAAGGGAAATCAGAGCACTTTTCAAATCTGACAGAATCAATTATTTCTCCTTACGAGTGATATCAGAATTTTAGAGTATTTTTCCTAGCTACCTGTCAAGCAGCTGTACATAAGATTGTGACATATCATTCTCACCTTCAGCAATGTTGCTGAAGGAATATGAGATACTTTCCATACACTAATCATCATCAGCCCAAACAGTTTTCATTTTTAATCCTACATTTAATCAAAATGGAAGTGATCAGAAGAAAATATCAGAGAAATTGTTCAGACCACACTTGAGAACATTCATCAAGAGGGGTGTAAAGTAGAGGCAAAAGGATGTTCGCTTTGAAGGTACTTCTGGGGCAGGGCATAAAATGACTTCAAGAGCAGAAGATACAAATACACCTTACCAGCTCACCCTTTCTGATGGTCATAAGTATCTGTGCTACAAAAGAAAGCTACAAAACATTGCAGGGAGACAAACTAGTGACGAAGTCAAGCTTTTACCTGCCTATTCCCCAGAGCAGAAATTAAAGCTACCAGTGGAAAAGGTTTTTAATTTTCGACTGGTAGGCCAATTGTCAGCAGTTGCTTTCCACAATACTGGCAAGCTCAGTATGTGGTGTTTATGCACTACTTTGAATATTTGAAGTGGGACACTGTGCAGCAGCTAGAGGACAGCATCCCTCTGTGCTCAGTACTGTACAAATACTGGATCAACACATCAAGACATCTCTGTGTCTAGGAGATTACAATGAAGGAAACTGACTGGAGATTTTTCATTGTCCTGTTAAGGACAAATTAGCAGTGATGCTGAATCCTAGAGGAAAAATTCATGACTTATGTCACTCCAACTGTACCTGTATGCTTATATGCATATGTATGTTGTTCTGAGCTTGACCTAGCCTGGGCTGGCCTTGCACATGAAGGAAAGAATCACCATATGTCATCACCAAAGAGGTTGCTCCCAGCACCATCCTTGCAGCTGGCTGGATACTGGGACTAAGTAACCTTTGGGATTCAGTCCAAAGCTTTCCTGCAAAAAGAGGTGAAGGCTCAGCCCAAAAAAGGCTATTTAATGTTGATTTAGCAATAATGGTGAAATCATTCAAGGAGGGAAACATGATCTATGCAGATGGACAATGCAGTGTGTAAAGCTGTGATCTGCCATCAGATTGCGAGAAAAAGAATTATCTTATGCACTGTAGATACTCTTCACCTGCTTTAATTTTTAATAGAAATGTTCCTCTTCAAGTGCTATGAGCAATACAAGTTTAATGTGAACTTAGAGGACCATGCAACAAAAGTATAATTGACTCACTATGATCACTCTTTGGATATTTTTTTCCTTTTTCTTAAGTCATAATATTTCATTCTTAATGGAATCAGAAAATGACAGAGAGCTGGAATCTGACATAGCTGTCAACTAGTGTGAATTCAACCTAGTAGCCAATATTGAAATTTGGTTTAAATTGCTGCATAAGTAATTGTAGATCAGAGTATTGGAATCAAAGAGCCATGGTAAGACATAAACCACCTGCAGGTCATAGGCAAAAGGAAACAGAAATAGTGTTTACAGAGGTCAAAGGTTTACATTTTTAAGTATCACTGTATTGGGAAACAGAGGTCACTTTTTATGTTTGTGGCATTTCTCTGTAAAAGCTGAGTTTGTTTTACATGCAGGTTTGGTATCTTTCCACTAACTAGTCTTACAACTGAAAAGCCAAATAAACATTATTTACATTGAACATTTGAACTGTTGGCCTGATACTGACACTCTTTTTAAGCCCAAAGTAGCTTACTTTCATCTTCTCTCTGCTTGTGCTGCTTTACCCCATCAGTAGTAAGCAATGAGGAAAGCTGCAACATCCTGTAGCGACTATAACACATCCTCCCTTTAATTACAGATTTATGTAGTATGTCAAAGCCCATCATCTGAATGGGTAAGATTGAATTCCATGACTGCTGAATTGGACATGCTTTGAATTGAAATAAAAGTGGCGAGGTGGCTGTGCTTATTAGGGGCTCCTAGTAGAAGTCTTGGTGCCTTATGGAAAGGTACTGTTACTGCCTGTGTTGTTTTCTGGAGGTTAAAACTGTGAAAACAGATGAGAAACAATATTTGCTCTATCAACCAGACTAAAGTTAATAAATCTAATGTAACTGGGAAAAGAACATCACAATTTAAAAAAATGTGGCCCAGTCCCAGTTTTAGGGAGTAGATGAGGGGCGATGAAGTCATCACATCCTCACACAGGAAAATTAACAATGTTATATATTGCATATAAAGCTCCCAAACACATTATTTTTCTCTTAAAAAGATCTCAGACCCAGAAGCTCTCCTATCGCTTTGAACTTGTAATTTCTCTTTCTGACCAAAGTTTGTAGTCAGAAAAGACAGAACAAATTTAGTATTTTTTACATCTTTTTTCAAAGAAGGATGGCTTCACAGCTGTTTCTTGATCCTGATTAAATGCATAGGAAGAGTATAACTTGCTAATTTTGGGTATTAGTCCTTACCTACAACAGTGTGAAACAGAAAAGGAAGGGATCTGCTTAGTCACAGTCTGGATCTGTTGTTCTATTTTCAGTTTTAGTAACAACGTTTTGTTATTCTTGCTAATGACATTAATTTCTTTTCTGTATTTCACTGTATTTCACCTTAAAACAATTATAGTAATTTTCCATTA